GCCAGCAGCCCGCAGCCCGCTTCCTTCACGGTTTTGTAATTTGTTGCTGCAAAAGGTTCTTGCAGTACACGTTCACGGCTCGTTCACGTCCTGCACAGTTTATCTCATATTGTTCGTGTTCAAATAAATGCCAACCCGTTGAACGTTTCTTCCCAGTTTCGCGTTTAACCACGCAGTTTGTTTCTGTTTCAGGAGAGGGCTCAACCCCCCCCACAGAGTTAAGTCTATTTCCATGACAACCTTCTCCCAACAGGAAGTGGAGTTTTTGCAAAACCATGGCAACGAGGTGAGTGACAGGTCTACTAGTACATAAAAGATGCTGTGCGAGTTTCTGAACGGGAGACAGCTGCTAAACAGCTGCCTTTTCTTTTTGAGGTAACATAGGATGAAGTCAATCTAAAAAAATATTTTTAAAGATTCATTTTTGGCATATTTAACTTTTTATTATGATAAGAGAGTATATGAGACAGGAAGTGGGAGAGGGAGAGAGGGGGTACAGGATGGGAAAATGTCCAAGGCTATTAACGCCAACACAATTTAAATGTTTAATATAATATAACGTAAAGTGGTAGTTTGTCCCATACCTTGCATGCCCCCTTTTTTTACACTCTTAATGTATGCACTTTTCCATAATAAAAAGAGTACATGCTTTTTAGGACATCATATAAGTTGGCAAATTTGTATTGGTCTTGTGCAAAATCATACCCTCCCTGGACCCCAAAGTAAATAAAGTGATCTCTATTTGGTGACTGATTAAAAAAATATATTGCTAGTTAATATATGTCGAGTTAATAATCAAAATATGTTAATTAATATTTTAAAAATCTAACACAAATGGTTGTAATTAGAGATAAATGCTTGGGGAAAAAAAAGTCAGAATCAGAATACAGGGTTACTTTTGAATGAACATCAATGGGGAAACATTATTTTTGCCATCATAATGGTAAAAATTCCTGACCCCTGGACTAAACAGTAAACCCAAAGGCCAAAATAAACATAGCACTGAACTGCTACTCTTGCAAAGGAGGCGTTTACATAGGAGTCTTAAGATTAAACATTAAAAGGGAAACTATTATATACATATACACATATACAGATTATATAGTGCTAAAACTTATATTGTTATATAATAACAATATAGCAATAGCCACAAAAAGTACAATAAAATCAGTATTAAAAAAAACAAGCAAATATAGAGCATATTTTGCATAGACATATGTTATGTCTCATATCAACAACCTCATAAGTAGCATACTCTAAATTCTATTAATAGAAAATACCACATGTGTAAGGGATAGACTTTCACAGTTTATTTTCGGCTGTATTTCTTAAGTGGATGTGTGTCAAAGTGCATATGTAAAACTACCTGGTCCATCCTCAGAAATGAAAGACTGAAAACATTTGATGTCTTCAATAATATAAACTACAAAAGCAGGCTAACTTAGTAGTGCATTGAGCAAATGTTAGATAGCTTGACACTAAGAGCCTCTGTTAAGTTTTGCATGAATTCATCTGTGTTTAAATGGTGTGTGGGCACAGCATAATATATATAGAGTTTTTAGTACATAATATACTGCGGTTTTCCCATGAGCGTGTGAGCAAATCTGAATGGGTGAATGGGTACAAGTACAGACGCTGCTCTTTCACTCCCCAACCGACACACACACACATTCACACCCACGATTGGCACTACAGGATTCTTGCACATTACAGTTGAAGCCAACTCTGAATGCTCAGAGGGTGGGTGCCGTTGCTTGTATAACACTGGCAAAAAATTAATCTGACTCATTCCTCCGCTTGCTGTCAGTAAAGCACTTTGAGTATGAGAAGGAACGGACAGGCACAGCAAATATCAATGCTAGTGATGACATTGAAGCGCATGATAAATGAAAACCACATGGCTAAATCGTTACTAATCCATACACAAATCACAGAGCCTGATAAATTGCATCTAAGCTTATTCGATGCTAAAAATGTGTGCATTTGGACTCCTTTTTTGTCTTTTATGTCACTGAGCATCTGGGTCAAAGTCTAATTTGTTAAAGTACCTCAGAAACATCATACTGGAACAGAGAGTTTCCTTGTAATGCAACAAACAGTAGCAGTTTGACATGTTTACATTAACTATTAATGTTCAGTAATAATAAAGCTTTTAAGTTAATTGCAAACATAACCACAAAGATGCAACATGCTTTCTAAGTAGTGCTGCGCAATCTCAATTTTACATTAAAATGCGAGCAAACCTCTCCTCTGAAGTCTCACTCTGTGCTATATGACGATTAGCCTGTAACAGGCTGTGTAAACTTTGTTAATGAGGCTTTAAAAGGAGATTAACTATGTTCTTGGTTTATGGGGTCGTTAGGTTGGAAGGAGGACCTGGCTCTGCATATTTGACCCCAAAACAGACGGCTGTTTTGACGCACGTGACACACAGAAGCTGAAAGAGTTCTTGCAGGACAAATATGAGAGAAAGAAATGGTGAGTGAGAAAAAGTGTGTCAGTGTGGATCAAACTGAATGATCAATACATGTCCTAAACCATTCAGCTTTTTCTCCCTGCATTATCTATAGATGAAAGTCAAAGAATGCGATACTAAGAAGTGTCTGTTTTTCCAGGCATTTCTCTAAGAGCAAGATCCGCAGGGATGCAAATGAGTCCCCATGGGCTCCAGGGGTTCAGGCTGTTCCAGCTCCACACGGGCCCGCTCAGAATCAGCCTCCGCCTGGACATCCTCTGAACCCCACTGCCCGGCCCACCCGTACACTGGTGAGTGTACATTGTATATTGGTTTATTAAATGTATTATTATTATGCTAAATGAAAGTCATTTTATTATTATTATTATTATTAGACTAACAGAGCAAAAATGTTGGTGGTAATGATAATAAAATTAATCCTTAATGTAATTTTTTTTCGTTAATATTATTATCAATACTTATTATTATAAATGCATATTACTTTACTTTTACTTTACTTTACTTTTAGTCATTTAGCAGACGCTTTTATCCAAAGCGATATTACAAAGGATTTTAGAAGGAAAATAGATTATACGAATAGGTTTAGTGTCAGTAAAGTTTTAAAGCTAATAATAATAATAACAACAATAATTATTATATATTATTATTATTATTATGGACAGAAAATGCATCAAATGATTTTACAAAGAAAAATAGAACATTCAAATTGGCTTATTGTCAGTGCTTTAAAACTACAGTTTCACTTAAAGCTGCAGTCCGTAACTTTTTTGTGTTCAAAAATGACAAAATTTATATAGTAAGCGAGTACACCATGAATCCATTTTCCAAACCGTGTTTTTGGCTTGTCCTGAATCACTACGGTACACCTATAATAAGTGTTTATATTCTGACTATTTTAGACTGGTTCGGGTATGTACCGCTGCGGAGTAGCCCAGCAAAGCTGCAGTCCGTAACTTTTTTGTGTTCAAAAATTAAAAAATTTATATAGTAAGCGAGTACACCATGAATCCATTTTCCAAACCATGTTTTTGGCTTGTCCTGAATCACTACGGTACACCTATAATAAGTGTTTATATTCGGACTATTTTAGACTGGTTCGGGTAGGTACCGCTGTGGAGTAGCCCAGTACCTGCGTGATTCGCCATAGACATAAACAGAGAGAAGTAGCTCCGGCTACAATGTTCTTCCGCAAGACGCAAGTTACGGACTGCAGCTTTAAATGAACGAAATCATTATTGTTATAAATGCAAGAGAAATTTACATAAAATTATTTTACAAAGAAAATGGAGTAAAACAGGCTTAGTGTCAGTAAAGAAGTATAAAACTGTAATTTCACTTTAATGAATTAGATCTAATAATGAACTAATAGGAGCACATTTCTGATGTATTGCTTGATTTGAACTGTAAGAGTGAAAGAGGGTTTTGGATCGAGCTATCTAACATGCTTTCATCTCTGATCTGAAAACCAGCCCCAAAATGTGTCACACCGCGGGTGCTGATCTGATTTTTAATACTGTGTGTGTGTGTGTGTATTCCCACAGTCCCAGTCCCAGTTGTCAATATGGGACAGAGCTCCTGCTGTCTCCCCAGCTGATAGCCGCACTGAGGTGTTCACTGCCAGGCCAACTCGCTCACAGAGCTTCAGAGATCATCCCATTAAAGGTACAGCCTTCAAACTCTCTTCTCTACCCATCTGCTCTTCTTTTCTTTACTCAATCTGTTTTTCTTCCTCTTTTCCGGTCTTCTCTTCCCCCTCCTTCTGTCTTGTCTACCTCCCTCCTCTCCTGATTATTAACACAGATGTACTGTACTGTGAGTCATCATTAGACTTTTTAATTTGTATTTAATTGTTTTAATGTCTGTTCCTTGCTCTCTATCTAAGACACATTGTTAAGTGGTGTGGAGAGACAGAGGCCAAGAACAATTTCTTCTGGAATGGGACACCAGAATCATCCATCCTCCTTTCCAGCCCTTCCACGTCCTTCAGGTACAAAAAGACACACACACATGGATTGTGTCTAGCACATAAAATACATTTCTGTAAGTATACAATAGGGTCCAAAAAGTCCACATTGACATTTATTTACGCCTGGAAATAAATAGAATGTTTTTTAAAAACTTTAAACAAAGAGTTTTGTTTTAAATGTTATGATTTAAAATGAAAAGTAAGTTATGTAAAATTGAAAATAAAATGTTCAATATAATTCAAGATTAGAAAGTAATATTTCAAATTCTGCATTATTTATAAACCACTAATCAACTGTAAGCAAATTTGTGACATTCAAGTAAATGAAATTCATGTACATTTTAGAGTTAGACTTTCCACTTAAAAATTGATAAAACATTTTTTATTAAATTAGAAATAAGCACTTTAATCTACAGTCTCAAAATAATAGATTGCAATGTATATCTACATTTCTGTAGTGTTTAAAAATTCATTGTCCCTCAAGTCTTTCTTCACTATTGAGCCATAACAGTTGCATTTAATCTCATCTTCCTTTCCTTATCCTTTATTTCACAGCAAGTAGCACTTTCAAAAACAGCTTTACTTTAGGTAAGTTGCTTAAACAATATATGTGATTATGAGTGATTGTGCAATGCAGACACTAGACAGCTATACCTCAGACCATCTGGCTGCAATGCTGAGTGAGCCAGCCATGACAAGCAAAAAGAAAATGCATTCATTAGTGTGCAGATATAATGTTTGTGCATATGTGAGCGTATCATAGAGAAAGAAACAGAAAGGGGCAGAGGAAAAGCTTGACGCTATGCAGAATTGTACCCCCATGGAATAATGCTGTTAACAAGAAACCAGTGGAAAGACTGTGGTTTAGATCAAGATCAAATGACCAAGCTAGTCTTAGTGTAAGATAAATACATTCAGAATGTCAGCAGTTTGTGGCCACAGTATTATATACAGTAAGCCAGTACGGTGAAACAAGCTACAAAAGCTAAGAAGCTATTTTAAAAAACACCTTAGCTCATCACCCAGTTCAGTCCAGCTTCAGAGATGTTTCTCACTGCAGTGGCCTCAGACGGAGTTTCTAAATACCAGCAGTGCCATGCTAAAGTCACAGAATGATATTGAATGTGTCCTGCACCCGCTCCAGCCAGCTACTTAAAAGCCCTACATTACAGCTCTGCCAGGTCAAGGAGAGACAATCTGCTCTTTGATAATGAAAAAGGCACAGGCTTTAAAGTAAAGGTATATTTAGAAAATCGCCCAGACCAGCGCCTGCTTTGTTTCACGTCTGTACTCACACATAACCTGTTGATGTGGAAGAATGTGTAGAATTATTTGTAGAATATACTGGAGTATTAATATTATAGGTCACACTTTATTTTAAGGCTGTTAACAAACCATCAACTATGACTTTTGCCTCAATAAACTGCTGCTTATTAATAGTTAGAAAGTTAGTTGTTAAGTTTAGGTATTGGGTAGGATTAGGGATGTAGAATATGATCATGCAGCACATGTGCTTTATACGTGCTAATAAACAGCCAATATGTTAATAATATGCATGCTAATAATAAGCAGCCAGTTAATATTGAGAATTGGTCCCTATACTAAAGTGTTACCATATTATACCAGGATGCGAATGAATCATCTTCAGCACATAATGCTTTTGTGTTATAGACATGTATGATCATCACAACTTATGCAGCTTTTTGAGGAAAGGGATGCACTTTTCCGAAGTGATCAGACGTACGATTTCTGCCTAAACTAACATCAAAGGACTGACATGAGTCACATCTAGAGACTAGAATATCATAGAAACTCAGGGGTGAGACCTTTTGACTTGGGCCAGTGAGCAACTACCTAGCAACCGCCCAGAATACCTTAACAACCACTGAATGATGCTTCTAGAACAAGCATAACCACATAGAAGCAGCATCACTCTAGCATTGTGTCACCGAATTCTGCACTGGAATGTTGAACATTTTTCATCAAATATTTAAATATAGTATAGAATTGCCTGGGTGTCTGACTTTTTCCTTTGAATCTGAACATGTGTATGTTTAAGATTTAGATACTTTTCAGAATGTGTGGGAAAAAATGTAGAGGTTACATTCTTAAAGCTAAAAACTTAAAACATTTATGTCAAAAATATTTTTCATGCATTTCAAACAGTGTTATGTACTAATATAGTATTTATTAAAATTTAGAATTAGCTGTTATTTTTATATTTTAGTTTTAGTAATTTTATCATGTGCTTTTGGCATTCTTCTTATTATTGTTTTTTAAGGATTTTTTTGTTAAGGTTAATTGATTTTTTATTTCAGTTTCAATTTTAGTCATTTTTGTGCTTTAAAGGGGTGATATGATGCTGCTAAAAAGAACATTATTTTGTGTATTTGGTGTAATGAAATGTGTTTATGCGGTTTAAGGTTCAAAAAACACATTATTTTCCAC